AAAACCCCACAAAAAACTCATGGGACTGTAGGGGACAGACCCCCACCCTCATAGCATTACAGTTTCTTTTTTTCCTTTTTCACATTATTATTATTTTTTTTAAATAAAGATGGGGTTTCACCATGATAGCCAGGCTGGTCTTGAACTCCTGACCTCAGGTGATCCACCCACCTCGGCCTCCCAAAGTGCCAGGATTACAGGTGTGAGCCACTGCACCCGGCCCACAGTTTAGTTCTCGAACAGTCCAGAGGGGGCAGACCCTGGCCTTGTGGCACCGCTGCCATTCCTATATAGTAGCTCCTATCCCTGGTTCCCAGGTGGCTGTTACGGCTTTCACCACTGCCCGGCCTAATGTTGGGACTTTGAGGGACAGACTGGGAAGTGGATTGTCACTTTATGTCCCTGACCTGTCACCTTCCCGTAGGAAATGTCATCTTTAGCCAGGCAGTCCTGTACTTGGCTAAAATTTTACTGATTGTGGGACGGGCAGTATGAACACTGAACAGCAGAAAGTGTGCCGCAGGCGGGACAATCACTGACGTGCCCGCTGGAAGCAGTGCAGTCTGTGGTTGAAAGGAAGATGTTCCTGGGCTCGAATCCCATCTCTGCCCCTCACCACTCCCTTGCCTCCGTCCAGTCACTTGTAAAATATGGGCAGGAACAATGCCTGCCTCTCAGGACTGACCTAAGTTTGCAATGTTAACATGTCACGTGCTGAGAGCAGCACCTTGACGTGAGTGGTCAGTGGCACACAAGGGTAGCAGCCGACTGCAAAATGGGAGTGAAAAAGCTGCCTGAAGCTTGCTTCCGACACATTCACTTAGGGGGATGTTTGCTTGGTAAGGGATTTTTCTTCACTTTTTTTTGAGACAGAGTCTCGGTCAATAGCCCAGGCTGGAGTGCAGTGGTGCGATCTTGGCTCACTGCGACCTCCGTCTCTGGAGTCCGACTCACCCACGACCCTCGGGTCTCACCCAGGCTGACCTTCAAGGCTCAGTTCTTCTCAAACAGTCCCCATCCCCTCGGTTCACGCGACCATCCAGAAGCCTCAGATCAGTCCATGCTTCTTGTCTGGGGTCTTGGAGCTGGGATGAGGAGGTCGGACCGCAGCGGGGCATGGAGCCTCAGATAGTTTTTGCGGTGCTGGGGACGCTGTCCAGGGAAGGCTACCTGGTCTGCTTCTAAGGCCTTGGCTGTGGCTACCTGGGCAGCAGGCGTGTGAGTGGCAGGGAGCTTGGGGTAACCGGAGAGGGCACACCCCCTAGCGGGAGCACCCCTCAAGTTGGCATCGCCACAGCTGCGGCACCTCCCGCATCAGGGCCACCCTCCCGGTGGGGACACCGCCCCCGGCAAGACGCATCCTCGCAGCAGGGCATCCTCGCAGCAGGGCATCCTCGCAGCAGGGCATCCTCGCAGCAGGGCATCCTCGCAGCAGGGCACCCGCGCTTAGCCCGAGCCGCTCCCCGCCAGGCAGCTCCTCACCGGGCAGCCCCGCCGTTCGGGACACACCTCCCGCCGCAGGGGCATCCTCGCAACCGGGGACCCCCACCGCAACGGGAGCCGGCCGGGACCAGAGCTCCCTCCCGCGCCGGGGAGACCCCACACGCGGCTGCCCCGCCAGGCAGCGGCTCAGGGAACCCGCCGTCGGCGCACGCCGGCGAAATCAAAGTGCGCCGGAGGTCAGAGGTCAGAGTTCGGAGCCGCGGGTGTTTCCCCACCTTCGGCCAGCCCACCAGAACGTCGATTTAGAATGAGATACGGGTTGAAAATGGGAAGCCTACTCCCCACCCACTCCTACGACTCAGGCGGGCGGGTTCTCCGGCGCCAGGTCTCCTACCCCGCGGGCGCGCGTTCCGCTTCCGGCCGCCGCAGGCCGGCGCCTGGGGCGCCGCACGCCTGGTCCCAGTGCGCAGGCGCCGCACCGGCCGGGCCCCAACGCGCAGGCGCCGGGGCAGGCGCAGGCGCAGACGCAGGCGATCGGCCCCGCCCCGACTCTGGGCCGCGAGGCGCGGGCGGGGCGATGGCGCGCGGGAGGGGCGGGGCCACGCTGCGGGCCCGGGCCATGGCCGCCGCCGATGCCGAGG